ATCTATATATCTATATAATAATAAATAGGTAAAATTTCAGCCTATTTTTTTTGTCCGTCTCACTCTAACTACCGGACAATGGAGAGTTTTTTTTGTCCGAACTTATATATATAACCCGTGCTTATACGAGTTAGAATAGCTCTTGTCTAGCGCGATACGGAGTTCAATTTCAAAACGTATTAAGTCGTGTATGTGACCCGAACTCATATGCCCTACACTCGTACCCAATAAAATGTCCAAATGGTGTAGCTATCTCTAAGTCGAAACTACTCTGCAGGATGCAGCCGGTACATGGCACACCCCTGGCCGGCGGCAGTGGGCGGCTCATGCAACGGATGCACAAGAGCCTCGGGCGGTTCTTTTGCCGGCCTTTCTGTGGCACTATTTGGACCTACACACCATGCACGTCGCGTGCGAGGGCGAGCCACGTGTTGATGACTCGATGCAGGCATATGTAGCCGACGTGGAACCCGTGTGAGCATGCCGGGATCGGAGCCGCCGCGACGCCTCCCCATCTTTTCATGTTTCATCCCCTCGAGGCACACAGCGCACTGCGCGGCCTCGCCGAGCGCGGACACGGCTGCTAGCCTTGTAGGGGTACCGGTGTAACCGCAGCGATGGCCGTGCCGAGAGCACGCCTCAGCATGACATGCGCCGCCTCGGCAGCATGCCGAACGAACGCCGGCGCGTCCGGGGCGATGGTCGCGGCCGAGAGCCCGCCTCGGCGGCAGGCCGAACGGACGCCAACGTGACCACGGCGATATATAGCTGCAGCAGGGCGAACGAGGAGAGTACGAGCGGCGCACGAGAGCCCAAACAGGAGCGCGCAATGCACGATAAGCGTGATCCACATGTACCTGATGAACGCGGCCAGGATGACGAGGAATATATAGCAGCAGCGGGTAAGGCGGGAGCACCAGCGCGCGGCCACGGCTTCGCCTAAGACCCGCAAGCGCCACGGGTATTCAGCTACCGACTTACCGACGGCGACATCTCTATTGGGCTCTTGTTCGGCCGTTTTTAACTTGGCCCCGAGTACAATTTGGTTTACCTTCTGATTGGGATATTTTTCACTCAGCTCCGAATATCTTCTGTTTTTTTTTGTTGCTATTTTCTGGAGTACGTTTCAATTTTTGTTGTGACCGTTTTCTACTCGGCTTCGAGTACGTTCAGAATTTTTTCTCGTGACTGATGTGTTTTATGGTTGTCTCCACCTGTTTTTTTAGGTTCTAATAAATATAACAAGTGTAATAAAAACAAAGAATAAATAGGAGACCATAGCCGTTTTAACCTTTGACTCCGTAAGAAAAAAATATTTTTTTATCAGTAAGTTAATTCGATTACATGATCCATAAGTAACTCGGATTCATGTCCCGTGCTAATATGAGTTGAGCAACTCACTTACGTCTAACAATGATACAATGTCTTATTCCAATACGTAATGAATCCCGTTGTAATTCACGGGTACGTTTGCAAGTATCTAATAATAAGGCAAAATTTCAGCTCATTTTGTTGTTCGTCTATTTTTTAGTTCGTCTCCCTCTAACTACCGGACAATGGAGAGTTTCTTCCTACCAGACTTATATATAACCCGTGCTCATATGGAGTTCGATTCCAAAATGTATTGGATCACGTCCTTCGTATCTCAAATCTTAAATATGACACGGACTCATGAGCGTACTTATACGAGTTAGAACAATTCACGTTTAGCAATGATACATGATTCAATTCTATTGAGACTCAAATTTGGTTAGGGTAATATTTTATATGATAAGCCAAAATTGAGTGCTTGTAAAGATGCAATCCGGGTGCTCATAAAGATGCTCCAGTCACATGTATGGGAGATCAAATATACCAGGCAATTGTCTTCGTACATGAGATTGTCTAATGTTAAGAAGAAATCCAGCGTCCTGTTCGTTTGAGCTTATCAGTCAATGTACAGTGTTTTCTCACAGTAAAACAACATTAGTTGTCTTATCAGCCATAGAAACCGTCGGCCGAACAGGGCGCCAGGATATAGTTGGCATCCGATACAGATTACAGAGTCCATATCCAGCACTATATGCCAAAGTCCACATGAAAAAGGAAATACGCAGGCATACGATTTTTTCCCCGCTTTTCTCCCCATTGTTTCCGTGTGTCCACTAGTTTCCTTTGTCGTTTGTTTTTTGGTCTGTGTTCCGTATGTTCTGCTGGTTTATGTGTTTTTTTTTGTCCTATAATTGGTTTTTATGTTTCCGATTTGTTTTCTCATGTTTTTTCTATCCTAATTTTTTTCTCTGTTTTATACGCAGCAATGAACCAAACCAAATCCAGATTCCAGATCAAGTCCAAAACAAAATCACATACCAAATTGATGAAAACTATGTACCAAATAAAAGCCACCAACCATATATATAAAAAGTCGAGCCCAAAATCCACACCGGTCGGTATGATCTGGGCAACCGACAGCCATGGCGTGGGATGGGGAGAGGGCGTCATGGGCGAGGTAGGGCGATGACACCACGGCGACGCAGGGCGGGAAGACGATGACAGCGTGAGCGAGGGCGGCGTAGACAAGGCTAGCATGAAGGTGCGGGGAGGCGCTCAAGCAGGCAGCAGCGTCGGGCAGAGAGAGGCACCGCTTCTAGCACAGAACGGCATCCCCGCGGCCGGCACGCTCGCCCACCGAGGCCGGCGTCCCCCTGGCCGACGCGTTCGCCCCTGGACGGCGTCCCCGAGGCCGGCGTGCTCAACCCCCCCGAGGCTGGCCTCCCCACAGTCGGCGCGCTCGCCATCAAGGCCAGCGTCCCCGCGGCCGGCGCGCTCGCCCCCGAGGCCGCAGAGGCCGACGTCCCCGACTCCCAGTGGCCGACTGGGCCCAGCGCTGGCACGCTCGCGGCTCGTCGACTACGGGCACGAGCTGAGGAGCAAGGCCACCGGGGTTGGCGCCCTGGTGTGGCTAGGGTGGAGGGAGGAGCCGGCGAAGCTCAGCCGGCCATCGGTGGAGGAAGTCCTGACGGCTGCGGGTTGCGGAAGGGAGACGGAAACTACTGCCTGCGTGCGGTGAAGGGGACAAGGAGATGCGTAGGGTGAAGGAGATAAGGAAGAGAGAGAAAAGAGAAACGGTAAAATAATTGAGGGGAAAAGAGAGAGAGAAAAGAAAATTAAAAAGAGGGTATTATAGTGGTTTTACCGTTTTCAACATCCAGAAGAAGCTATTTTATCAAATGTCTAAAATAATTTCAGCTCCATAAGTGAAGATGCTTCATCAGCTGAAGCAAAAAAAACTATATATTTATGCTAAACTATTAAAATTCACAGCCCTACTTTCGTAAACGGGAGTTATTTATTTAAATTAAAAATGTGGCAATTTATTTAATTAGAAGCAACAGCTATTAATTTTATAGACATCTACAAGAATTTGTTTATTTACTTCGAGCCAATATCACTAGCTATGTAGGCATGCTATGACCATAAGGTCGCTATATATAAAATCAAACACACGAGTAGTACGTGTCCAACTATGATATGAAGTAAAATTACACAATTAATTGAAATGCATGATGTAATCGTTAAATCTCTAAGCAATAAATTATCTATGACCATGTAAGACTTACGTCCCGTTACAAAGCACGAGCAATTTTGCTAGTATATATATAATATAACAAAGCTCCTCCCCTCTCACTAAACAGTTTGATAAGCCGATTACTCAATAGACATTTATTTCAATCGTTAGGTTTTGAAACCCCAAACCGCCTTGCCCCTTTGGTTGGCAAGCAAGTCTCATTTCACTATTCTGTATTTCTTTTTGTCCTCGTCGTTCTGCCAAAAGAATCTGGACTTGAAATACTTATCACAATACTTAAGCACTTGTTAGTCCATTAGTTCTCGCTCAATTACCAAAACCAAACTAGAGCTTTCACTTGGCCTCTCCCTTCTCTCTCTCTCCCTTGCACTCCTTTCTTTTCCATCAGCCGCACTACCCCATGCCTCCTCCCTCCCCCCCCACATGTCTCTTGCCACCACCTCCCCTCTGCAGTTTGCACCTCAATAGTTTGGAGCTTATCGACGTCCATGACAACCTCTTCTCTCTCTTTCCCACTCGTCGGAGGATATCGAACAACAGTCTCGGGATCATCTCGAGTCGCGACAGTGGGATTTTCGAGAACGCGGGTGCGGGATCTCGATCGATGACAGTGGCATTGTCGTGGTAGGTCAGGTCCATGGCGACCTCGCCCCCTTTCTTCAACATCTCAGCCCCTAGATCTGGCGAGCTACAATCCCTTCTTGATCCAGGCGAGAGTACGTGTGGTGGTGACCTAACAATGGTTCCAAGAGGTAGTGGCACTATAACACAACATACTTTTGTCGACACTTTCTATTGTAGGCAAAGGGCACCTTTGCCGACAGATAACCTCCCGCGAAAAGTTTTGCCGACAGTTTAGAAACAGTCGCGCTAGAAGCCGTCGGTGAAACTTTTGCCGACAGTTAACAGAATCCCCGACACTTTATGTGTAGGCAAACGGTCTACCTACGCCGACAGTTGAAACCTTTGCCGACAGTTAACCCTTTGCTGACAGTTAAGACCTACGCCGACAGTTAAGACCTTTACCGACAGTTTGTATGTTGGCCAAACCATTTCCAAGGTATTTTACAAACCATACCCTGCCCAAAAAAAACTGTCGACAAAACTGCATAGATATAATTACAATTAAAATAATTGACAAATCCACTTTTGCTCATATAGAAGGCATCACATTGAACAAATTCACTTGATTTTTGTATAAATAATATATTAGATCTTCCATACATACACCAACTTTATATATATATATATAGCGGCTGAGTTTTAACATGCATACAGTTGCCAGCCAAAAGATTACAGAAGCAATCCAACACCCATCAAAACGATACTAAAAAAGACTGAATTCAGACATACATCAACAACATCCTGAACTTCTGGGGACTGCATCTAAGTGGACACAATCCTCCTTCACCCGCCTCATGAGTCATCACCTCTAAGCTGCGTCTTCATCATGTTCAGTTACATCAGTATCTTGCAGAAGGAGTTGATTCACCTGTCGCGCAGTCTGAGACGCCAATACTTCTTTCGCCACGCGCAGCATCCTATTGGCACCTTCCACCAACTGGTCCTGATCCATTTCAGTGACCAAAATTTCATTAGCGCATATGCATGGCAGATTATCTCTAAAGGATTTTTTATCAATTTCTTTTCAAAACATGCTTTGTTCCTACTCTTCCAAATGGCCCAACAGACAGCACCAACACCCCATGGGTGGAACTTCTTACCAAATGGCAACCACTTGTCACACCAGAACCAGCATTGTTGTAAGTTACAAGGAATGTTGTTTGCACCAAAACATTTCGCTACCACCATCCAGATTACTTTGACAATGGAGCACTGAAAGAATAAGTGGTCAACAGTTTCAACACATTCACAGAACACACATGTATAGACATAGAGAATGCAGCCAATTCGTGAGCATCAAGGTCTTTAACAAGGGTAGGCTCATCAAACTGAATCCATGAAGCACCAGCTGCCTTCAGTTCAGAAACAACCTCCCTGTATTTCATAACATATCACATTATCAATTAACGAGGATCATGCTGAAAAAAAATTGTTGGCTTTTTGTGTGGATGCTTACTTGTAGATGGGAAGAATGCTACCAAGAAGTGAAAGAAGAGAGAAAGATTTCTCCACACCCTTGGCAGGCTTAGAGAGGAGCAAGTATGAGACTGGTCCAACAAGCACCAGGACTGTATCAATGCCGAGCTGCATGAGGTGCAAAATCATAAGTTTGCAGGCATTATTTTCATAAAAGAAAATAGCATGCCCCTTCCTTTATAGGGTGAAAACCACAAACATATAAGAAAAAAAGCACCGCAGGGCATCCTATCATATTGCCATTATGCAACGTTGAATGAGAAAATAGTTTTGTGGCGGTTATGTATTACTGTCAAGATGACAAAATCAGTATGCTCCAAGATTGTCCATCTTTGACTTCAAATAAGGTTTGCAGAGACAGTGGGTTAACTTATAGTTTACTTCAATGTTATGGAATGTCTTGAAGGCATCAAACCAGTCAAGGATTCAAATAAGCCATAGGTTCAGTAGAGCTGAAGTTCTTTTATCAAAAGGAAGCGTGTTCTAAGCAAACAATATTTGTCAAATCATAATCAAATAGCTGGGAGACATAAATATCGGTTGCTACATTTTTTCGTGTTACTAAACCGTGCAGCCACACAAACAAATTATGATGAGAAGGGTAAATGAACTAAATTACAAACAACTCAGAGTATCTGTTGTTACAGCAACATACCGCCTTTGCCTCCTTGTACTCAGAGACAGCCTTGTGTGAAGCGTATGTGAACTTGGTGCTTGGGCCAAGCTCAGGGACAATAAAGTGGTTGCAAAGAATAAGGTAATAAAAACGTATAACAATAGAGCATTTAAAAATAACTTAGAACTGCATGGTGTTCTTGATGGAACCCAAGACTGTAGATGGCAACAATATATAAAAATTGGTTCATGGTTCATTCCCAAGGACATAAAACTGGTGCTGCAGGCATCCTCTCCTGATGGCCTTTTGCAGGAATACGAGGACTTCAATTGCTTATCAACAATCGTAATTAACTTTTGTGTTAAAGCAATGGCAGCTCCCTGGTCACACACTAGATTTCTGTTACATGGAGCACATGTGGCAAAGATAACAGTAGACAGATGTTACAATTACCTGCCAAAAGGAGTAGCAACCGTCAACCAATTATTAGTTCGTCCTTGAAATCCGCATTCCACTCCTTGACGAAAAGCCACCCAACCCTAAATGGTGAAGATGTCAGCAACAACACCAAAATGGTATTGTAATAAAAACAAATGTTGCATCAGCCAAACACACAAGTATCGACTACTTGTCATGCACTTTCACCAAAGGACCTAAAAGAACAACTTCATGGTCTGATACACAAAACACATCATAATTATAGAAGTAAATTAAATAAACTAAGGGAGGAAGAGGTTGTCTTACGATCAAGCTAGGCAAGTCAACTTTCTCTGCCTCATTAAGCAGGATCAAAGCAGCCAATCCACAGAACGTATACCTTATGAAAGCAACTTTTGTTAATGTTCTTAACATATAAATTTGGAACTTTATAGAAATCCTCAGAAACATACCCACCATGTGCTTCAGCATAAGGCTCCCCAGCAATACCACCTTCATAAGTTTGACAACTGCAGTCATATAGTATATCAATTGAGCAACATTCTAGAAAAGAACTGTGACCAAGCAACAATTTTTGCAACTGAAAAAAATGCATTTATATAACACAAACAAAACCTTGCTATGAAGTCACCAACGCCTTTTGCCAGTTCAACATCAAGAATATTCACAAGGCTGGCAACCTAAGGTCAACATCAGGAAATATCAAGTAACTGCAGAAAAATCGTGAAGGACCACAAGAAACTCACCGATATAGCGGTGTAGGAAGCACGGACATCAATTTCACCACCATCATGCATTCTAGGGCAAAGGAAAAATGAGTGGCAGGCATCACCTCAGAAAGAGCTACAAATGAGAAAGTGGTCTATGTACATTATCCATGCTGATAGGTTGCATACCTGAAAGCACCTGATACATCTTTCATCCGAAACATAAACTTGTACAGGTTGTCCTTGACCAACAAGGTTAACATTATTAACAAAAGAACTCATGTAAAGCAGATCTTGCTTTAGAGCAACCATGAGATTTACCTATTGATTGATGACAGTGCTCTTTCACTCCCTATTGTCACAAGTGTATTTACGGCAGCATAAGTCGTAGCTAGGTGAGGCAACTGCAAAGGACGTGGACAAAAGAATGTCTTAGAAAAACTACAATTTACCCTCTTGAATTGACTCAACATAAATGAACTCAAACTAACTTTATAAATCAATAACAAACAAGATTTCTGGTTAAAAACTTATGCTAAATGAATGAGAAGGCTAAATCAAGCACCCAATAATGTGCTTTGCTTTCAAAAAAGATAACCTTGAGTATTCAAATCCAAAGCATAGTGCCCATCATCACTGGCACATATTTTGTTTGTTACATGGACATGCTAATATCAATTAAAAATGTTACAATTACAACCGGGTGAGCTAAAGAGGGATTCAAATATTTAATGTGATTGCAACAGCAAACATATATGTCCTCATTGTTTCATTAGACATATCCAAGACTAATGCATACACTGCATAAATCTAAAATCTTATCTAAAAAAATCAATGCAAATAGCAAAATCAAAGATATTATGCTCAAAAGTGTGCGGCTCAAAAGGTTTTGAGATTGGAGCAACCTATCCAGGTCCACCACTATATCCACCATCTTTATCCTGACATCGAGCTAAGAAGTCTATGATATCATTCTCAAGATCATCATCAAGTGCTTCATCCAGCAAAGCAAGTGGATGAACCATCCAGTAGCACAGCCAAGGGCGACTGAAACCAATCACCTGCACAAAAGGGAAAAGGTGGAGGGAGAGAGGATCTGGGGGAGGAATTAGGAGACCGAGGAGGAGAGGAAGAGGGTGACTTACCGCCAGATTCAGCGGGCGAGGTAAGGCGCCACCGCCGTCGGCGATGACAAGGCCACGCACAGGCTTGGTCGGCCGGCCTGCGCTGGTCGTGGCTTGCGATGCATCTGGCGTCATTGAGATGAGGCAGCTAGGGTTTCGTCGACCACAGTAGCACAGGCGGATCGGTGGAAGGAGGCAGCGCCGGGTGGCACCCACGCCGGTAGCCATCGGCGGGCCCCAGGCGCGTCGCCGAGGAGGGGGCGCTGTCGGCCATGGCCAGGGCGGCCACCCTCCGCACCGGCGCAACACCCGGCGGGGGGCGCCGTCGGCCCACGCGGCCACGAGGCGTGAGGAGGGCGTGGAGAAGGAGGAGGAGGAGGAGGAGGAGGAGGAGGAGGGCAGCCGCCGCCGCGTCAAGGGCCGGCGCTGTCGAGGTGCGGTGGCGCCGCCGTGGCCGCGTTGGGAGGGGAGGGAGAGAGACCGCTACGAGAAAGGAAGAGACGGAAAGGGGGGGAGAGAGAGAGAGAGAGGAGGGGAGGAGATATTTTTACCCAGCGCGGGTACTCCTTCGGCGACACTTGTACAGTTGCCCTATATAGGCTACGCCGACACTTTCTAGGTCTTCTAATTTTTGCCGACACTTTTTCTGTCAGCAGAGAAACGCCGACAAATAATTTGTAGTCTTACAGTCTTATTGCCGACAGATGATTAGACATTAAAACGATATACAATTGCCAACACATAATATGTCATCCAAACCTGCCTTTTGCCAACACATAAGTGTAGGCAAATGTGTGTCATGGTGTAGTGTGGTTGTGGCTCAACAGAGGTTCTCTTGTTCTGTTCTCACTCTCCCTCATTCTCTCCCTCTCATTACGGTGAAACGGATTTGGTAGTGGTGGCAAATGTAGCGGTGGAGCCAGGAGAATGCTGGCCGATAGTCGAATTTGGTGATAACTGCGGGAGCGGGCTCAACGACATGAAATCAGGTGGCAGAGGTGGGAGCAAGCTCGGTGGCATCAACAGCGGCATGGTCGAGGGCAACAAAGACCACACACGGGCTCGATGGGCCTCTACGGACGTTTTTGGCACATGGCCTTTTTGGTTGATGCCTAAGTTTTCAACAGCCAACCTTAGATAAATTGTGTCTGCTATAGAAAGTGTGATGAGTAAAATTAAAACCACACTTGTGGTAAATTTTGATAAGAATATGACATGTAGGATATGTTGTTAAGAAAGTGCAGCGCAGCATAGTTATGACAGTGAACCAAACAACTACCTAAAAAGTTGTAACATACCTGTGGCATGACAAGTTCTGATATTTATTTAGAGTAAAGTTCTCTAGCGGTCCTCAAACTTGTTCAGTTGTATCATTCCGGTCCCTAAACTCGTAAATCGCTCGTTTAGGTCCTTAAACTTGTTTACAGTGTCCTCCCGGTCCCTAAATTCACAATCATCCGTTTAGGTCCTCAAACTTATTCGACTATGTCAACCTGGCCTCTAAATTTGCTACTCGCTAATCGCGTATTTAGGTACTCAATTTTTGTTCACGTCTCACTGGCTTTAAGACCCGAACATACATCGAGAATCTAAACAGGTGATTTACGAGTTTAGGAACCGAGATGGCATAATTGAACATGTTTGAGTACATAAACATGTGATTTATGAGTTTAGAGACTGAGATGACACTAGCAAACAAGTTTAAGGACCTAAACGAATGATTTGCGAGTTTTGAGACCATGCGCAATGAAACAAGTTTGAGGACAGCTAGTGGACGTCTATTTATTTATATCTCGTGCCATATGCCGAGCACTCTTGTTTCACTCCCTTAACTGGATTATTGTACTCCTGTGTTGTTGCGAAAACATAAAACAACCAATATGTACTCTTGTTTCTTTTACTGGAACATTTGGACCCTTGTGTTTCTTAGGGCTTCTCCAGTAGCAAGCCAAAAGCGACTCATGAGTCCTAGCTGGACCATCATGAATCGATCCATACCACTGCACCAATCGACTCAAAGAATGAGAGAGAAGAAGTCGACTCATATTCTTGCATCGGTTCATCGCGATTAAAAAAATCAGAATAGAGAGACACAGGGAGCGACTCAAGAGTGAGAGGCTTCAGGCTTGCAGTTTTTCATTCGTATATACGCGGCCAGGTTGCACGAGGAGTCGACTCACCAGTCACCACCCTCTTAAATGGAATATTTGGACCCTTGTTTGTGTTTTCCTCGAAACCTGTGCACTCTTGTGCAACAGTCTTTTGGCGTACGCGTGATGTGACGGCGACGACGAGGGCGCGGGAGCTCTTCTTGGTCGAGTCTCTGGCACCGGCAGCACGCGGGGCAGTGCCATATCTGTCCCTTGTGTTTCTCACGTGCAGTCGTGCTAAGCCCCGTCTAAGGCTGGATAACGAGCTGGCTCGGCTCGTTATGGCTCGGTTCGTTATGACTCGTTAAGATAATGAGCTAGCTCGACTCGGCTTGTTATCTTAACAAGCCAGAAAGTCAGCTCGGCTCGGCTCGTTAAAAGCTCGAGCTGGCTCGGTAAGCTCGTGAGCCAAGTATAAAAAATACACAAAATATAATATTTATATTTATGTAAAGTTTGAGAATAATAATAATATAAAATAAATACATCTAGACCAGTTACCAGTCAGTTTATAGGGTCTAGACCAATTACTAGTCAATTGTAAAGTGCAAGACATGAAATAATACAAAAACTAATATAAGTTTTGATACTTTTTTCCTGGAAGCTTGACTCGTTTAGCTCGCGAGCGGCTCGCGAGCTGGCTCGAGTTGGCTCGTTATAGCTAACGAGCTAAAATCTTGGCTTGGCTCGGCTCGTTATCATAACGAGCCGAGCCGAGCCGAGCCGAGTCAAGCCAGCCACGAGCCGAGCGAGCTAACGAGCTTCGAGTTTTTCGTCCAGCCTTAGCCCCGTCGATCGAGATTAGACGCTGGCATAACTGGATAGGACGATAAGAGCATGGCAAATGAGAAGATACCGGAAAAGTAATACCTTGCCACCTTGGATCACATGACTTTTTTTGACACTGCTAAGAGCCCCTTGGTCCTAAAAAAAGGTTACTACGGTCAAACTCTTTTAAATTATAAAAAATATTAGCAATATTTGTATCTTTGAATAAGTTTATTATGAAAATATATTCAGCGTTTTATCTAATGATACTAATTATGTAATATAAGTATTAATATTTTCTTATATATATTTGGTAAAAAGTTGAGGATGTTTGAATTATTGAGAAGTGAGAAAGACACTTTTTATCAAACTTGAAGATGTGTGAATTCCGAGAAGTAAGAATGACACTCTTTATGAGACGGAGGAGTACATACTACTTGCATCCATTTGAAAATGGCATACATGTAATAGCCATGACATATGTGGGACTGCTGATTAGGCTGATCATTATCAGCGCTCCCTTCTTGCCAAGGACACACTTTTGGTCATGTATGGTACTCCATATCGTGCCTAGAATTGTACTCCCCCGTTTTAATTTATAAGCTTTTTTGACTTTTCTAGATATATAGCTTTTACATTTTTTTCGATCAATATCTAGATAAATAGCAAAAGCTATGTACCTAAAATAGTCAAAAGACTTATAATTTGGAACAGATAGATTGAGTAGTTTGTTAGAAACCATAATTGTTCTTCATTGGTTCTAACCTTTTACTCCCAGCATTTGACACTACCTCTCCTAACCTCATCGGTGCTCGACGAGGATAATTGTGGTCGCCATAGTTTGTTGGAAAGCATGATTGTTCCTCGTTATTGTAACCCTTTTACTCTCGCTGCCAAACATGCCTCTAAGAGGAACTCCAGGAGACTCTCTATATCCTTCATAAATGGTACGAATAGAGATTTTCATAAAAATCACTCTCCAAAAGTTTCTCTAAATTAAATGGTTATCTAAATATAGCTATCTTCTATTCCGGATTTTTCGCTAGCCAAAAATAGAAGACAATAATAGCTCTCTAGAGTGCGCAGAGATATAGAAAAGTTGTTGCAGAGTGAAAAAATATAGGAAACGATTTTTATGCAAATGCTCTCCAAATGATGATTTAGAGAAAGAGATTTAGAAAGGCTCTTGAAGATGCTCTAATTGTGCAGTCATCGAAACGTAACAAATGTTTTTGCAAATACTCCTTCTGTCGGTGCAGAAAGTGACCAACACGTAAATATTTGTAGTTTTGCCGTACGTTGTGATCGGAGGTGGCCTAGCACTTAATGACATAGTGTTTATACTAGTTCAGGCAACGTGCCCTACGTCCAGTTTGAGTCGATTCTGTGACTTTATTCCTGAGCCCAGGTGCTCGAAGTTTACAGTGGTGTTACAAACGAGAAGGAGAAAGATGGGGGGTACAAGAGGTCCGGTCGGACTCTGGTCTGAAGGCCGAGAGTGACGGGAGCTCCACTATGTGCTAAGTGTTCAAGCGTGTGCTCGGTATAACTTTATAGTGTCTAAAGTTACTATGGGTGAATCAATGTATGTGAACTAATCGATCTGAATGAACTGTCTTTTGGGAGAGAGCGCATCCCCTTTTATAGATAAAGGGGATGGCCTTACAAGTGAGAGGGAGAGAGTACGTATGCTACTAAGTCTTGCTTCCCATGCTGGCGGGTACAAGATGATGGTAGGCACCCACATTACTGTTTAATGTCAGATGCACGTGGGAGATTGCGTCGTCTTCTTCAGATATGGCAGATGTCGGTGCCTGCCACACTGTTGATATCCAGAGGCATGTAAGGGGTTTTTACCATGTTCGCCTAGTACGCTAAATGTCGGCGCCCACAACACTGTCGATGCCTCAGAGGCACGTGGGGGAGCCTTACCGTATTTGTCTGGTATGGGAGTTGATGGCGCCCACAACACTGTAGGAGAAAATGTCGGTGCCTACAACACTGCTTAGGTTCTGTCATGTCAGGGAGGTCGCAGGGTATGTCCTGCAGGTGTACAGGGTACGGTCCTCGGTATTGCGGTTGACTTGAGTGCGCTGCCTTACTTTCTCCGTCCGTTTCCTCGTCCTTACCAAGCGGGCGTCTCCGGTCGGTTGGTTCAAGTCGGCTCTGATTGCGCTAGTCGGAGAGGAGCTGTAAGCAGGGGTTCGGCGCATTCCCGGTCAGAGAAGCGGGTCGGAGTCGAAAGTGGTGTTTGGCCAGGCCTTCCGGTCGGAGAGGCCGTCCGGAGACGGGCTGGAGACCAAAGCGAGC